TAAAGTCTGAGTGGTACTAATTTCAGAAATGAATAAGAAGTTGATTAATTATTTTGTCAGTAATTTAATTAATAAACGGACGTTATATCTTAAACATAGGGAGGTAAATCGATCAATTGGATTAATATTATTTAATCATGGTGGCTCGATTTTATTGGTAAAATAGTGGCTAAATGGGAAGAGCAATAATATTACTCTAGTGGGATGTTTTATTATTTAATTCCATTAAATAGGAATTAATTTTATTCCATATTAATTAATTAATTAGGAGAATAAAATTCCTACTAGAATCTTCTCTTGGGATTAGGAGACTTGGGAGTCTTCCAGAAGATGGAGATTAGTGGGAAATATATTTCCTACATTATATTATTAATTGGAGTAAAATTAGGTTTCCTAAATTAGGAATTAATTCTATTCCATGGTTATTAATTTAATTAGAAAATATATTCCTACAAGGATCTTCTCTAGTGTTAGGAGACTTAGGAGTCTTCTAGAAGGAGGAGATTAATAGGAGATTTCCTTCCTACATTAAATTAGTAATGGAGTAGAATTAGGATTCCTAGGCCTAATGGAATAAGCCCATATTTAGCACCTCCTTAAGGTCCCTAATGGAGCCTATAAATACACCATGTCCCAACCTCTCCTACATGTTATGTTGGCCGATTTTCTCAGCTACATACACGTGAGAAATAGCATCGTTCAAGAGTTAGGGAGATTCGATTAAACGCTCCACCAAGTTTAATAGATGTAGGTGTTTAGGTAATCCGTTAGAAGGCTTTTGGGTATAATTATTCGAGCCTTTATATATATATATATATTTCCGGTCACTTTCCCCAGCCAATCGCCGTCGTCCGCCGCCGTCGACAACCGCCGGAAATCTCCACCGCCGCCCGAAGTCACCGGTAGCCGCCCACGCCCAGCCGATCACAGTCCCGAGTCTCAGCCCGCGCCCAGCCAGGCCCTGCCACCGACGTCCGGTCACCTTCGCACGGTCCCAACAACGATCGCGAGCGACCCTCATGCTCGTTGTCTCTGTCCCATCGCCAGTCGCTGATCGCGCATTGCCAGTGCACAAGGAGTATGCACGCGCCATTCCTTGCGCGACCAGGAGACGCGATCCGCAACCCTGCGTGGTCCCAGACGCGCACGCCCAGTCCGCGTATGAGTAGAAGTTCTGCACGTGCACGCGCGTGCCTTCTCAGCATCCGTCTGCGCTCGCAAGCAGTCCCACGCGTTTGCCCAACACACACCAGTAGCTGTTCGCGACACGCATACTTGTGTCTAGCGCCCGACGCGCACGACTTCCGTGACCAGCTCAATGCAACCCTATGGCCGAGACCCGCGTGCCGTTCAACCGTGATCC